GGGGCTGCCCCTGTCGTCCGAAAGCCCGTTGTCCACGTGGTGGACGGAGTCGTTCCTGTCGCTTCCCAGCCCGTTCGCTCTCGCCTTGATCCTGTCTTGGAAGTTTGGTCCGGGGACGGCGCGCTCTCTCTGCGGGGTCGCGGGCCTGCAGAACGGGTTGGCGTAGACGGGCTCGTGGTACTCCGTCGGGGACCGAGAGTTTCTCTCCGAAGCTTGTCTTAGGAGGTCCTCCACCTCCACGGGGGCCAGCCCGTCGGTGCCGTTGAGCGCCGGCCCGCGGTCAGAGCCCACCGCGTACACTGACTTCCTCCCGTCGTCGTAGACTTTTACCCCGGCGCCCGTGAAGTCGTCGGACGGCAGGGGGATGGAAGAGAGCACTGTGCTTTCTCCGGTCTTCAGGTCTCTCTCGACTTTAATTTCCATGGCATACAAGGCTGGAGAGACAGATCCGAGCGCTGGTTTAGGGAACGTTCCCTCTGTCACTAGCCTGCCTGTTCACCCTTTCTCTCTACAAAACACCTGCCCTCTTGGTGGCTCTCACGNACTAGCCTGCCTGTTCACCCTTTCTCTCTACAAAACACCTGCCCTCTTGGTGGCTGTCACGGGGGAGGCCTGGGTCTTTGATTCCCGATTCTACTCACCAACTACCCAGCGACCCAGACCGTAGTGACACAGGCTTTCGTGGGAAATGAGTGAAACTGGGCAGGGCCGGAGGAGAGGGGGGATGGTTTCAAACAGCGAGGCTTTTCACCCGGGACCCAAAGACAGGTTCTTTCTAATTAATAAACCCAACGAGGCGGATTTCACTCATTTACGTGACTGGGAGCGGGGGGAGTCGGGCCTTCTCCCTCGTTAGGAAGGCTGTCACACTGCGCGTCACCGGAGGCGAAGGCCTAGCGCGGCCCACGCGTTTTCCTGAGCACCGTCCTCGCCGACAGGTGCAACCAGGGGGCGCCCCTAACGTTCTCAGGGGGGAGGCGGCTCCAGTGTCAAACTGGCACCGGAGCTGGGGCGAGCCTGGGCTCACAGGCCTCTCCTCCTGCCTGATGTCGCTTTTCATTTCCACGGCCGCCTTCAAGTAGAGAAAGGGCTGAAAACAGAGGGCTCTCAGCTGTCCCGAAGCCGGGGCTGCAGAGAGCCCGCGATGCGGGGAGCCGAGGGCTGTGTCACGCGGCCCAGGCAAGGCCCCCTCGGCTGGGATTTCAACCGGTATCGTCAAGCTAATAGGATCGTGGGCAAAATGACCGTGAGACGAGGGCCATGCCGGCTGCGTGTCCCCCACCTTCCCTTTGAGCCATCCCCCCGCTTCCTCTCTCCCTCCTCGCCCCAAGGCTCTTGGCCTTGGGCACCCCGCTAAAATCGGGGAGCCCTCGCCCCCACCCCCAGCGGCCCTGCTTCACTCTCTCTCCAGCACCGTCACCCCTCGTGTGATACGTGTCACTGCTTTTCCTAACGGTTCACTCACGGCTGCCTGGGGGTGAGGCCGAGCCGGGCAAACAGCGCGTTCGCCCCGTAGCTGCTGAGCGAGTGAGCGCGTGGCCGGTGCCCGGGGACACTGTGTGGCCCTTTCTGGTCTAAAAGGCGAAGGTCCCTCTCTGCCGCCACCTTAGCCTTGGTTTCCCCAGAGGCGCTGAGGTGTTGCTTTATGAAAATCAGCCCCCGAGGGGGTAAACAATGCCCCTGCCTAGGCTTCCCAAGGGGAATATTTTCATTTTCGTGGAGGACCCCAGTGACGTGAGAGAGCGTGTACTGGATGGAATAAGCCGGGAGAGGGATTTGGGGCAGGGGGCTCTGCTTTAAGAGCTGCCCGCTTCCTTCGGCCCCTGTCTTCTCTGTCCTGACCTCGTCTGCCAGGAAATGCAGTGCGTGGAGTGAGCACCGTGACCGGTTCCCTGCCTGCGGGGTGACCCACGCACCTCGTGGGGGACTGTAAGGGGGCCACTGCTTAGCCTGGGAGCAGGCTGTCACAGGGAGCTGCTGCTGTTTGACATTGTAAGATCTGAACCTGAGAGCCTGCCTTGGGAGACAGGTTCCCCGGGTACCTTTTCTACTGTGTTCATCCTCTTCTAGTCCGTCATTTCTTTCTTTCCTCAACCGGGAAGGTACGTAGGATTTTGGAAGGTCGGGGATATTAGCATAGATGTCTTCAATCGACTCTGGAAAATTAATATTAGTTCAAAGTACATCTACAGTATGTTTATAATCACGGAAAAGCTGCAGTGGGCTTATCAGCAAACGTCCCAAGGAGACGCCCATAAGAATGCTCAGAAACGTACCTCCCGACGGCGCTTCCCGTTCCGCCTTCACGGACTAGAAGAGAAAAGAAATCTGTGTGATGGATACAGTCGGCCGAGCGAACGCGGACGGCGGGCCCTCGGAGGACTGCGTCCCCTCTGGGGGACTCGCGCCGAGAGGGAACCGGGGCTTTAGGACCGGTCGAGGCTCACCCGTATGATGTCTTCCGTTGTCCTCTCGACGGATTTTAGTTTCTTCAGAATTGCCTCCTCGTTGGTCGAGATTCGCAGTTCAGCCCTTTCGAGGTCTTGGATCTCTTTTTCAAGTCTGGTAACAAAAAGATGTACTTTTTACTGCTTAAGACAGTGCTGGGCATTGCTCTCCAGCATCTCTTCCCCTTGCGTCAGCTTTCCTCGGGCTGCTGCGGGCAAGTGCCTGGGAGCATAGCCTCCCGCCCACCGTCACACTCGGTTTCTTTCTGTGGAGCTTTCAACTTTTTAATTTTCCTTTTACCACCTTTCACGAATGTGAAAATAATTCCTAGCTTGTGGCTCTACGAAAACAGGCCAAACTTTGGGCTAGATCTGACCCTGGGCGATAGTTTTCCATCTCCTGCGTGTGTGTAGACGTATATCTCTGTGTATGTGTCTCTACACACACGTGTATCTATATACATCCATATACACATGCACATGCACACGTTCATATTCATATGCGTGTATAGTTAAAAAGTATAGCATATGTATGTGTATGGGTATATATCTAAAACTCAAGTTGTTTTTATGTGGGAGCTTTTGGGGAGGCCGCTGGGGGTGGCTCTCTAACCTTCACATGCTTATCTCTCGGCAGACGGGGTAGAATTTCCCTAAGTGCCACCGTCCCCATCTTCGGAAGGTGTTACCTTTCCGAACGGGAATTGAGTTCTTGGGGATGCTGACTCAGTCTGGCGAGAACCAGGCGGCAGAGAAAGGGGACTGTCCTCCTGGGTGCCTCTGGGCCGCCAGGAGGGCCCCAAGGATGAGTGAGCCCCTCCCAGTGGTGGGCGGGTGTCAGGTGACAGTTTAGATCATCAGAGGACATGAGAAAGGATTCGTAGTGCTGTCCATTAATGCGATCTTCCTTCTCCTTGGCTATTTGCTGGGGAAAAGAGGGTTATTTTTGAGAGTTCCCCAGGTGAAAGCAGGTAGCTTTCATTTCGTGCTCTGGTCTAGTAATAACCCCTTTAGTCATCAGGAAATAATGTCCCCAAACCTCTCTCACTCATAACCAGACAATGTCCCCAGTCCAACTGCAGCGTGACATTTTTTTGTCCCAGAAAAAAGACAGAACACAAACGCGGGACGCGCCCAGAAGGGGTAACTTTGGAAGGCGGCCTTTCTGCTGCTCCAGGGTCCCCTTCTCTCTTTCCATTTTGGAGTTCAACAGGGGCCAGCACGGCCCGGCGGAGTTTGCCGTTAGGGGCCAAACAGACTGGAACCCAGACCAGTCCAGGAAAAATCCAAAAGCGTATGTCCTATGTCACGGCGACACCTGTCAGCCATCAGAGCCGCGGGTAACAGGTACGGAGCGTCACCCTGTCCCAGGCACCCGCCTGCTCGGTCCTCGCGATGAGCCCACGAGTGCCGCTCTCCCGTTCGACGGATGAGCAACGCCAGGCCCCAGGGAGGGCACCGGAAAGCAGGGATTGAAATGCTGGGTGTGTGGGGGGGCGTCCACCCACATGTAAAAGTGCAGACTCATCACCTATAAAGCGAATATTTCTGTCTGCGCCTTATTTAGGGGGATTTTGTCAGACGAGGGATTTCCCTGCTTGGTGGCCCAGTCGCCTGGCCAGGGTTAGAGTCCAGGCTCTGTCTGTGTCCTTCCTGGGCTGCTGGGGCCTGGATTTGATGGGCGCCTCGAGCAGCCTCCTTCGGGGAGCCTGGGTTTCCTAAGCTGGGGCCGCTTTGCAGGAGGCTCTTTGCTTCAGCCGTGACTGTCGTTCCGAGTGGTGGACACTTTAGGTGTGAAACAGGGAGCTGGCTGGTGTGATTTGATATAATCGTGCAGTTGGATGTAATCACCAGCGCTGTCTTTGAAATGGCGTTTATGGTGGTTTCGCTGCAGACTTTGAAAGGACTGACGCATTATTTGTGTCCTGGGAGCCCGGGCTCTCTCATTAGAACGAAGGCTCCACCCAGACGGGGCCCACGGCCGTCTCTGGGGTGGCCTGAGTCAGCGGGCATTAGACCCGGGCTGTGCCACTGCCCAGGTGCCTCTGAGAGCAGGTGATGGAATTGCTAAG